AGACCCCTGGACTATACAGTATAAGTCAAGTAATCCTTGACTTATGATCACAATGGAACAGCAATTTTCCATTGCTAAATGAGACAGTGGTTAAGTGAGTTTTGCCTCATTTTGCCTCACTTCTTGCTACAGATCTTAAGGGAATCACTGCCGTTGCTGTTAGTAACATGGCTGTTAAGTGAATCTTGCTTCCCCACTGACTTTGTTTGTCAGAAGGTCGCAAAAACTAACCCCAGGATATTTGCCAAGTGTCCGAATTTTGATCACATGATGCTGCATGTGATGCTACAATGGTCTAAAGTGGGGAAAAAAATCACTTTGTCAGCATCGTTCTAACTTCAAACTGTCACTAAATGGATGGTTGCAGATCAAGGACTACCTGTAGTCCGGGTTGCTGTATTTATTTTCTTGTGTTTACTTAGAAGCAAAATAATAATAATAATAATAATAATGATAGGCTAGATCAGAGGTCTCCAAACTTGGCAACTTTAAGACTTCTGGGAGTTGAAGTCCACAAGTCTTCAAGTTGGGGACCCCTGGGTTAGATGCTTCCCTCCCCTTTTTAAAAATCACACAATTGTTTTACACAAGCAATTAAAAATGATTCCTGTTGTTACCTGAAGTGATTCTTCCCCCCAAAAGTAGACATTTTGTTCAGTTGCTAAGTCATGTCTATGTTGTGGTTAGCTGGCAGCAGGTGTGGATGGCTGAGGAGAGCGAGGACTCAGATGAGGGGCCAGGACCATCAGGGAGTGGGCTGCTGCCTTCAGAGATTGTGGGGGCTAGCAGCAGCGATGAGGAGGTTCCCGAGGAGCCTGTGCCAAGTGCACGTGCGCACAGGGCTGCTCACAGGAAAGAGCAGCTACAGCAGCACGGGCAACTCAGGAGTAAGGCTGCAAGGTAATGGCCCCTCCTTCAAGAAGATAAAAGCCAGTTGTGAATGGGACGTTCTTTGCAGGAAGCAAAGACGTTTTGAAACTCGAGCCTTGTGAACATTGCAGTATCTTAGCTGGTATTTGAAGACTCTTGTGTTGTAAAATATTTCTAGGTAATCTTATCTCTTATTCTTGGCAGCCTCGCACAGTTTTGGCAAGGCTCGTGCTTATCAAAGTTAATTAGTTTGCAGCAGCCTTTTAACTGGTGATTCATAAGAATCATTAAAAGGTTTCTGTTCCCTTTGGTTCGTGTTTGTTTTATTGGAAAAGAGTTTGGGTCAGAACAGTCTGATTCTTTGTGACTCCATGCGCCATAGCACACCAGGTCCGCCAAAGTAGACATTATTGTTATGAATTTTCAAAACAATTAACTAAGAACTGATTGAGAAAACAAACATGTACAAAGGCATCAAAATGAGTAAGTATTTCAACGATGGTTTTCTTCCTTACTTCTGCTTTGGTAACACTTACTTGTCCTTCCAGTGGTGATGTCCATAGTGGCCGCATATATCCTCAATCCCCGTCAAGAGGTGATCCAGAAACTATTTCAAAAGGAAGAAAGATTCGTTTATTGGACACTGCCGTCTCTCGAGAAGAACGACACCTTCCAATTGCAAGTATGAAAAAAAGGAGCGTGAATACCATGAATTCTGAGAAAAAGTTAATTGTGGACCGCATAAAGCTGTGAACCCACATATTTGAGGGATGGGATATAATGGATAATGGACTAGAAAGAATTGTTTTGGCAAGGTTAAGGAAAGCACAAGGAATAAACAAGAGATAAGGTGGGTGTCAACTCTGAATCGAACCTGGCTGAAGCCATTTTGTGCTGCTTCATAGTTGCCATTCACTGCGGGGGGGGGGGGGGGGAGGGGGGGGAAATAGTTAGACCATCTGGTAGGCAAAAAAAAAACCTCTCCCGTGAAAACCAAGGTCATCCCAACAGGTGGCAGTTGGAGGAGGAGAAGAAATGATTGAGGAAACCCACCAACTGCTTTGATTGTACAATGTGACACCTGGGGAGGGAAACTTTTGCTCTTTTAATTTACATGGTGACCACGGGAAACTTTTAGAGTTGGTTTTTTTTTCTTTTTCTTTTAAATAAATGTATTTATTCAACATTTCAACATTTAAAAAAAAACAATTTCCACTTTTTAACAACGATTCCATAACGGTGTTAACGCTAATAGATAAAGTCTAAAATTATATCAATTACTTCTCCATTGTTATTCACTTATATTCTTATTTCTATACTATATAACATCTGTATACATACATTTTAAATTAATACTTTCTCATTTTTGATGTCAATCGATGCCTTTGCACCTTCTTTCTAACCACTCATACCAAACATTCCATATCTTATAGTACTCTTTCTCTTCTTTCTCTTTTAATATCATCGTTAGCCTGTCCATTTCAGCGCATTCGAGAGTTGGTTTTCACTGGCTTGTGCTGATATGATGTGTCCAATAAACATGTTCTCTGAGGAAGGTTCTTGCCTTGGAGTTCTGATTTCTTTGGGTGCCTTACTTGGAACACTGACATTGGATGGGTGGGATCTATCAAATTACAGAACTATCCCTTTAGAATTCCCAGCTATAAGAAAAACCTGGTCAGGATAGTCAAGAATCCCACACAGTAATCAAACAAGAGTTGAATGCCAACTTGATGGCACCTAAATATGGGTAGTCCTCTACTTAGGACCACAACTGAGCCCTATTGCTAAGCAAGGCAGTTGTTGCATGATTTATGACCTTTCTTGCAACAATTGTTAAATCTGGTTTCCCCGTTGACTTTGCTCGTTAGAAGGTTCATCAACATCTGATGATGGATATGGCACAAGAAGTAGTAGTCAGAAGGTTGCAAAAGGGGATCACATGACCCCAGGACACTGCAACTGTCATAAATACATGCCAGTGGCCAAGCATCCAAATTTTGATCATGTGACCATGGGGATGGTGCAATGGCTTTAAGTGTAAAAAAAAACAAAACACGGTCGTAAGTCAGTTTTTTCAGTTTTTTCAAAGTTGTAACTTTGAATAGCAATAGCAACAAATATACTGCTTCACATGGCTTTGCAGCCCTCTCTAAGCAGTTAAACAGAATCAGCCTATTGCCCCCAACAATCTGGGTCCTCATTTTACCAACCTCAGAAGGATGGAAGGCTGAGCCAACCTTGAGACGATGAGATTTGAACTGCCAAACTGCTGGCAGCCAGCAGAAGTAGCCTGCAGTACTACCTTCTAACCACTGCACCCCCATGGTCATTAAACAAAAAATATTATAAGTTGAAGACTACCTGTAGCTAACCTTCTCTCTCCAATGAGAAGCCCATCTTTATCATATGACTAACCCTAAGCCAGAACAGCCAGAATAAAAATACAAAGCCTCCTCCAGTACGATTCATTTGCTGTGATTATATTTTGCTATCTCCTGGAGGTCCTTTAGCTGGGGAACTCACTAACTTTCCTCCACTTTATCCAGTAAGACTACTATCTTGAGGGCACCAGGTTGGGGAAGGCTCAATTAAAAGCACAAGACATTTCGTTTAAGTTGCACTACCAAGGTTCTCCCATAGGTGGCAGCAGAGTCCTTGCTTTATTATTAAATCCGGCTTCAGACTGTTCATTTTACTATGATTCAAAGTTACGACCGGCTCGGGAAAAGTGGCTTACGACCAGTCCTTGAAGTCACAACCATCACGCAACCCCCATGTTCGCATGATTGCAATTCAAGCACGTGGCAACCAGATCACATTTACATCAATTGCAGCATCTTGTCTTCAGTGATTTAGATCTGGGAAGCAGTCAATTGGGGAAGCTGGATTTGCTTAACCATCATGTGATTCACTTAAAGACTGTGGTGATTCACTTAATGACCATGGTAAAAATGATTGTAAAATTCCGATTGTGGTTGTAAGTTGAGGACTATTTGTAAAAAAAAAAAAATCTCTGCAATGTTGAATATTGTGAAAGACGATGTAGAAAACATTACCTTCCTAATTTAATATTTAAAATTACATTTTGCAGATGCAATTTACAGATTTTAATATTTAAAATTACATTTTGCAGATGCAATTTACAGATTTTAATATTTAAAATTACGTTTTGCAGATGTGAAGAATATCAACACAACTGGTTACAGTTGCACGGACACACCCACACACCACAGAGATGCTTTGCAGCAGCTAGAAATGAACCATCACCTGAGTGTGAATTTCCTCGTTAATGGACCTCTTGGTCTCCTGCTTCTTTTTCACCGCCAGAAGATCCACCAGAGGGCGGATGGTCATGCCCTGCAGGTAGACAAGGCAGGTTAAATTCCACCAGCCATACCCAAAGTCAGTTCATTTTTCATTTTCCTTCCCAAATGCTCTTCCCAAACCCTTTGCTAGCCCCACCTCTGTAACAGTGGCTGAGCTTGACAGATAGCTCCCCTCTTCTCTCATTCCGGGGGGTCTCCAAACTAGGCAACTGTGGATTTCAACTCCCAGAATTCCCCAGCCAGCCATGTTTTTCTGGGAGTTGAATTTTAGGTCTTTCACAAGTCTTAAAATTGCAAAGTTTGGAGGCCCCCGTCCTATTCCAAGAATCACTGAGGATCACCATAAGTATCACTGGGTCATTCTTGGGACATACTAGAGATCTGGCGGAACATGATGTAAATCTTTGCAAGTCTTTGCTCAAATGAGGTTCCCTCCTTCTAGAACAGAGGTATCAAACTCTGTCCACAGGCAGATGAATAGAAATACAGGCCACGCCAGCTCCGTGGAGGAGAAAAACATTGCTAAACATCACATGATGACAACGTGACGTGGCGAGTTTGACACCTGGGTTCTAGAAATCAGCCTGTGAAGTGAGGTGAATATGACCTCAAAATCATCAAAGATAAATTCACTTCCAGGTAATTTCTGACGTTTCATTATATTTAATCTATATTGCATTTTACAAATACCTGTAAAGAGCTATACACATAAATATACAAAGCATGAATGCCGGAAGGTGTAATTAATACAGTGAATCCCAGAAACATTCTTGACTGAGAGCATGGCTAGGTGGCTCTACCCAACTGACATTAGCTGATCTTGCATGAGACCCGTCTAGCACTTGGAAAGGAACCCATCAGGAAATCCCAGGCCCATAGACTAAACAGTTCAAGCAATATCCCAGCAGAGGGCAGTGGAAAGCCACTTCTCTACTATTGCTAGGAAAGTCACAAAGACACGTTCTTAGGAGTCTCAGGAGTCAAGCTGAACTCCAAGGAAACTTGACTCCATATATTTATGACACTGTAGGAGGACAGAGTAGTCCTGAATCCAAAGGACCCTGGTGGTACATTTTCTAACACATTTTATTCAAAGGTCCTTAAAACCTGGTTCTGCCAATGGCCTGGGATCCATAGTGGAAGTGGTTCCTGGGTTAAGAGGAGATTCCATCTCTACCCCATTGTTTATTTGATTCCTTCCTTAATGATCTTTGTTAACTTTAATGTTAATATATCCATTTCATGCTTTACATTGTCATTTTATTTTGCTGTAAGCCACCTTGCATGATGGCAAGAAGTAAGGCAAAGGTTTCCCTGCGGTTTTTACTCCACTAGTTGTAGCCATCTTTTGGGGGTGTTGCTCATCTCCAATTCTAGGCTATTGAGCCAGCACTGTCCAAAGAGCACTGACATCACGCTGCAGTATCACACGGTGTAGAGCGTGTGACAAAAGTACTGTTACTTTCCCACTGAAGTAGTACCTACAAATCTACTCACATTTGCATGGTTTTGAACTGCTACTTTGGCAGGAGCTGGAGCAAGTAACAGGAGCTCACCCTGTCATGGAGCGTTGAGTCTTGAACCTAAACTGTCAGCTTTCCAGCTGACAAGCTCAGTGTCTTAACTGGGATGAGCAGCCTATACATTTAATAAATAAAGACACATACTTTTGTGAGCTCAAGCTCACTTTATCGATGTGTGTAAGTAGCTTGACTGATCTAGGATTTATATATGAGATGAGGATTGGTTAGGGTTAATTAATGGGACACCAGAAATCTGTCTCATGTATAATCTGCATAATCATCCTGTCTTCCATTCCATTTTCTGCCAATTTAAATCCTACATCAGCCCAGTCACTCTATGCATCTGATGGAAATGAGGATCAGCTCATGAAACCATGCCTTTCTGTAAAATGTGTCAGTCAGAAAAGGTGCTACCAGAGTCCCCTTGATTTTTAATAAATGAAGAGGGAAGGGAAAGGGAGAAAGCACATATTTTATTTCCTCGGGAGGGGCACTCAAAAATCCAGATGGGAGGTTTTAGACCAAATTGTGAAGGTTGCCAGGAGGGATGGGGAAGGGGAGGTGACACTCAGATCTACCTGCACAAAGACTGTGAAGAATATGACTGTGATGATCGCTGTAAGAAACATGTCTCGCATTGGGAAATGCTTATAATCCAGGAGGTAGCCGAGAGAGAAGGCGATGGCCCCTCGCAGGCCACCGTAGGCAATGATGAACTGATCCTTCGGGCTCAACTTCACAATGCGAAATTTGTTGATGAACCATGTCAACCCCAGCACACCTGGACACAGATTGAAAAGACGGAGAGGCACAGGTTACCCAATGGCACTGTTGACACATACAGAGCTCTTGGTTTTCGTTTTTTCAGGGTTTCAAATCACACTGTTCACACAGGGCATTTACACTGATCGGGTAGAAGGTTAGTGGCCCCACATACACAGCATGCAAAACCTAACATTTGTTTGTTTGTTTGGTTGGTTGGTTAAATTTATTTGCCACTTATCTTGCCAAGGGCTACTCTCATACTGTCATGCCCCTGGTGGAGACTGACTCTGAGGGAGAGGAGGAACAGCTGACAGGGAGTGGAAGTGTGGCTCCGGAGGTTGTGGAGGAGGCTGGGGAAGGGCAGAGGCCGGCTGGGCAGTCAGAGGAGGACCCAGGCCCATCCCCTCTCCATCCTAGGGCACGCAGGGAGGAGAGGATAAGGGAGAGACGTGGTCTACTTGGGAGGAGAGGGCCTTGATCCTCTTCATGGGCTGCAGCTGTGACAACTGAATAAGAGGACAAATATACGTATGGGTGAATGCTGGAAACAAAGCGTGGAAATATCTCTAGTTTATAGTTCCTCTCTGAGTTTGGCGTCCTTCCCAGTGTGTATTATCTGTGGCCATCCTCCAGCCCTTATCTTGCCTGGTTTGTGTTGCTTTTTTCCTTCTTATAACTGTTTGTGTGGGAGTTTTTTTTGTCTTCCGTCAAGAATATTCGGAGCTTGGAAGCAAAGTGAAGGAATAAAAGGGGCTTCACCTGTTTTCTGTGACTGTGTTTGTTTTGTATCCCACCCTGGGTCATCACACATACTCTAAGAGCAATAGCACTTAGATTTATATACCTCTTCACAGTGCTTTGCAGCCCTCTCTAAGCAGTTTTACAGAGTCATTCTTTTGCCCCAAACCATTTTGGGTCCTCATTTTATCCACCTCGGAAGGATGGGAGGCTGAGTCAACCTTGAGCCAGTAAGATTTTATCTGCCAAATTGCAGACAGCCGGCAGTCGGCAGAAGTAGCTTGCAGTACAGCACTCTAACCACTGCGCCACCATAGCTCGTATAACATAATAGTACTGTATGTTATACAAACCCAGCTTGCTTGCTAAGCATCTCTCTGGGGCAGTGAAACATCCCTGCTGCACACGGCCAGCCCCCTACATCCTAATGGGAGCAATGGCCCAAAAATTGAGGTGACAACATGTTCTCCCTCTGTTCATTTTATGCCTGGAGACTTCCTGTAAAAGCTTGCAGGAGAGTTTGCCAGTGGCAATTATTCATTAATTTAATTTATTGTGTGACTCTAGGCGAGTGGTCCCCAACCAGTGGGCCAGGGACCACTGGTGGTCCACAAGAAAATTTTGGTAGTCCGCATAGAAATATCACCCCCAAAGCAATTAACCCAGGCTGCACAGGAACACAAGGCTGCACCGCCCACATGGCCCACAGGAACACAAGGCTTGCGTCACTTGCATTGTGAACAACATGAGGTAGTGAGGGGAGGGGGGAAAGGGCAGAGGGGGGGAACTTGCCCCACTCACCCCATGTGCCTGGCCTGGCCACCGGTCTGCTTCTTTCTGCTTCTTTCTTCTTCTGCTTTTGGCTGCACACAAGGAAAGCAGCCAAAGTCTTTCTTTCTCTCCCCCAAACTCTGCCAGAAATGAGTCTTTGGGACCCTGCAAGGCATCCTGCTCCAAGAGGCTGCGCCGGTGTGACAAGTCTCATTTCTGGCAGAGTTTGGGGGAGAGAAAGAAAGACTTCTGCTCCTTCTGCTACTTTCCTTGCATGAAGCAACAGCTCTCTTCCCCCCCCCCTGAGAACAGAGCTGGAGATGGTATCCTGTGATCTCAAATAAAGAATGATCGATCGGTAGGAAAACGGGGTGGGGAATTTTCCTGCAGACTTTTTTTTGCTGACGTTTTCCCTGGGAAAACATCAGCAAGCCACTGTCAGTCAAAATTCATATTAGTGGTCCATGGGATTTAAAATTATGAGTTTGGTGGTCCCTAAGGTCCAAAAGGTTGGCGACCCCTGCTCTAGGCAACTTACAACATCAAAATGCCAGAGTGTAAAAACCCATGGACCCTCTAACCATCTCAGCAGCGATGATCACACACTTGTGCCTGCCACCTGATTGGCTCTGTATCAACCAGGGGATCTTTTGCCAGGGGTTTTGTCAACCATTGACAAAACGACATCTTCCAGAAAAGTAACAAGGTGGGGGGGGAGGGCAACCTTATTTTTGAGGGAATGATATTCCCCAGGGAGGGAGTCACCATGGAGAAGGCCCTTTACCTTGATCCCACAAGGTGTATCTTCCTAATAGAACATGTAGAACATAGACCCGTGAAGGTGAACCTAGAGTCATTTGTGCTGGCACGCGAGCCGCAGGCAAACTTACCTCACTGTGCATGTGCTCCACTCACAGCTGATTTTTGGCTGGTTTGAGGCCTTTTTTCGGCCTCCCAGAGGCTTGAAAAAAGCCTCTGCAGGCTTTGCAGGATGAATAATAGG